TCTTTACCAAAAACAATAAATTTGATTGAAGTGTTTTAATTTGTTAACAGAATCAACCAATATAAAACAAGTAGAAACAAGTAAAAAACAGGAAAATAGAGAAGCAACAGGAGTTTGCCCAGCAACCAAAGGGTCGTTGGTTCAAACCCCAACTATGGCTTTCAATGCCATTGTGTTTTGTGCAAGACACTTCCCCTGTATTGCTAACTGTTGGTGGTCAAAGATCCCAGTGGTGCCTGTGTGCCAAATCATGTTTGGTTTTTTGCAGGTTTTCACAGTAAATCTAATTGGCTTTTTAGTCAGTTTTTTCTAAAAAAAAAAAAATCTTAATGGGTTTTTAGTTGTATATTGCAAGAAATTATTATGTTAGTCCATATTCTTCAGCTCCATTCTCTAGTTATCTACCTACTTTACAGTGTAGAGTCTGGAAAATGGTTTGGTGAAGTTGTGAGTAAGTAGACATTATTTCCAATTAAAAAAAAAAATTTTGGAGGCTAACTGAGACATGGCTGTGACTCAATTAGGTTGTATGTGAGTGAAAGAGGGCAAAAGATTGGCAGATAACAGGAAAGCTCATTATATTACAGACAAGTTGCTCTTGTTTTATCCATTTCAGTTTTTCTTGTCCTCTTCGGAGTAGGGGAAATTTGAAATTTTGCAGATTTTTAAAAATGTTAACATTAGGAATGAATACACTTTAGGAAAGGAAATATAAACGGATGTTTTAGAGATGCTCACCATTTCCCCTGGACTAGACAATACCTCTGTTCTTAATATCAATTCTTAATAACAACTTCAAACAGCACACCTGATCCTTTTTAGCAGACACAACATATCGGTTGGTATTTGTGTCTCTCAGATGTTAAGAGGGATCAGTAAAGTCCATTTTCAAATGGAGATACAACATTTTGACAAAACATTAAAAAGCTAATAATATCTACTGGGATATGGTGGCTTATGAGAAATCAAGGCAGATTAATCAGATTTAATATATTGGAACTATTTAGTATAAAGTCAAATAGAGCTGCAATTCCTTAATTTGTTAAATGATACAATAAAAAAGCAGGAACAGTGGCATTAAGACTCACAACGTAAAGTAGAAAATAGCTAAATCATCCCTTTTAAAATCTGTCTGGTATTTTCTCTGATGGAATGTATTAAAGCAGCATATAATTAGGAGCTCTCAGCATAGGCATGAAAACAACCATTAACCTTACCCTCCAGTTAGACTCTTTATATTCTCACCATAGAGGAGTAAATAAAAAAGTAAGCCTTACTTTCCCACTCTCAGCGAAACACACTCTTAATTCAAGTTTTATTATTGATTTCTCACATTTCCAGTTTCTGGTTGTTAAAATTGTTTTTAATGCATGTCCATGTAGTTTTATGCACAACATTAAAATATTTTTTTTATTTGTTTGCTATTTGTTTGGCACAATGGAATACTTAAAGTTTTGCAGACATAAAAAAGCAGGAATGCTGATGCAGCTGTAAATAGGAAGCCATGTTTAAATCACTCCAGGTTAGCTCTGGGGAGAATGTTACCACTGAGACTGAAACTGGTTGAGCAAACTCTTTATAAAACGGAAAACTCAGAGCTTCCTTTATTTCAGATTTAGAAAAGTTTTCAGTAAACCTGCTTCATGAAACAGACTCCTGGGACTATCCAGACTAAACTCAACTCAAACTATCAGTTGTTGTTGTCGACTCTCTATTGTTATGCCAGCCACATTAACAGGGAGCTGTATGGGGTTTGCACAGAAAATCTATAACAATCATGGCCAAACAGTTATGTTCATAGTGGATTTTAGAGACAGTATTAGCTGCTACATATTCAGATCAGTTTCTAATAATCTAACCTGCAGTTTGCTCAGATATCTTCAGCTTTAGTGGGAAAGTCGCGTTGAGAGCAGCTGAAACAGCAGTCGTTCAACTGTACGATGACAAAGAAAACAACTTAGTTTAAGAGCTAATTTGCATTAGTTCGACTTTTTTATCAATCCAAATTAGAAAAGTAAAATCAACTTTTTGATTTATCAACAAATCTCTCCTGTGAATGCAGACTTTTAAGTATGTTTCTATTGTGTGACTAAACGTCTCAAATATTCTGGTTAACATAACTTCTTCCAATAGTGTGACTGGAAAATCTGCACTTCAGTAAAACTGCAGAAACCTTCTGTAGAAGGAGAAGAAACTGAAAGTTTTGTATATTTCTTTTAATAACTGCTTACATTACTGTAATTGCCCATTGTGGCTCTGGACTATTTTAGCATCATTTATCCAACAAGGACAGTATTGATGTACATTTTTAAATGTGTCATTATTAGCTACAATTCTTCTTTTTAACTGTTGTCCCTTGACCAGGTGTACAAGGCCTACAAATATCAAAATTTAATACATTCAGTAAAATAAAACCTTAATCAGTTGTACTCCACTGTACTTTTACTAAAGTAAGTGAATTTTCTGGTTACTCTACCCACCATGAGTAACTTGAAAATACAGATAACAGTAAATTAGTTTTTATCCCTTCCAAAATTGTGTGGTTTACCTTATTTAAAGATTGGTTTATCAAGTTAATGTTAAGGAAAGGGATGTGTAAAGTATTCGTTTTGCACAAGTTTGTCTTTTGTAATTATGGAATTATGAAGTGTTTATTTTTTTATACTTGATGTATGTTATGAGGCAACAATTTGCACTAGAGCAACCATTTTTTTTTTCTCTTAAATAAGTATATTTCTTATAACTACTTTCCACTTGAGTAAGAAAAAAAAAACTGGAGTAGTGCTACTCTTAACAGACTAAAATATTTGGGTAATGTAAAACCCCTTATTGTCCCTTTATTTTAAACCATCCCGTTTGAGAGCAGTGGGCTGCCATTGTGCAGTACCCAGGGAGCAATGTGGGGTTAAGGGTCCTATTCAGGAACCCAGAGTGTAGGCTATGGGGATCAAACTGGGTACTTACAACCGTTTAAGAGCACAAGCGCACTGCTCTAACCAATAGGCCAACACTCCTCTTCACTAGGGCTGCAACTATCAGTTGCAAATCAATTAATCTCTCAATTATTTTTTCGATTAATCGATTAATAATCGTAAAGCAAAAGGTACCTTAAAGAAGACTTTTTACGAAATTTAACCAGGTAAAATTAAAACGATTCCACCTGAAGAGTTCTGGATAGACCATATTGATAAATGAAAAACCTTATTTATCTTTAATGCAAAATTTATATATATATATATTTTTTTTACAATTTTGGTATAATTGCTGCAAAAGGGTTGCTTGATCTGTTACCTAAAAGCATGTTTTAGAGTCTCTCTCTACTCCAGTTAACAATTAATTGATTACTAAATTAGCTGACCGTTATTACAAGAATTGATGAATTATGATTAATCCGATTATTTGTTTTTACTCCACACCATCACATTTAGTGAAATATAAGTCTTATATATGGACATAGCATTTAGTCTCATGGATCAAGAGATCAACATTTAAACCTCAAACTATAAAACAAAAGCAGAACAGTGGGATATGGGCTGGACATGCAGCTCCAAAGACAAAACCTAATAAAGGTTAGTTAGGTTATTATTTAGAAGGTTGCATGAGAACTAAACTAAATGATGACATTGTTGGTTTGATTTAAGCCCATTTTTAAGCTGAAGCTTAAAGGTGGTAAAAGTTGTCCGTTGTCTGCTGGTGAATTAAATATTATTCCTGATGTTACAGCTCTTTCCTGGCAGAACCTGCTGCCCACTGGGTATGGGATGATTACCAAGATTGTTTCATTCATCCATTTTCCGTCACGCTTATCGCAAGCGGGGTCGCGAGGGATGCTGGTGTCTATCTCCAGCTGTCAATGGGCGAGAGGCGGGGTACACCCTGGACAGGTCACCAGTCCATCGCAGGGCAACAAAGACACACACAGGATAAATAACCATTCACGCACACACTAACATCTAAGGAGAATTTAGAGAATCCAATTAACCTAACAGTCATGTTTTTGGACTGTGGGAGGAAGCTGGAATACCCGGAGAGAACCCATGCATACCCAAGGAGAACATGCAGACTCCATGTAGAACGACCCCAGGCCGGGAATCAAACCTGGAACCTTCTTTCTGCAAATCTATTTAATTTCTTCTATTTCTTTTCTTTTCTTTTTTTTTTTCTTATTTTCACTACATTTAATTTTAAATGAAAATCTAACCTTATTGTTTTTTGTTCCAATATATATATAATATATTTTACAATTATTTGACTTAATCACATTCAGTGAGTGGTGCAACCTTGCCCCAGTTTTTTAAAGTCTACCACACCTATTCTGCTTTATAATTAGTTTATATGTTGGATCTTTTTTATTCACCCTACAGTTTAGTTATACCATAGAACTTATCATTTATGTCGGTTTCAAACTTGACAGGCCAAAGTAAAGCAACTAAGAAATCAGAGGGTTGAGACATTTACTCTGTGACGCGTCCAGGAGCAAACACTACATTTGCCATTTAGGAAAGCTCCTGGTTGGGGAAAAGGAGGCGGATCCGCACAGTATAGATTTCTGTGGGACACTGATACAGAAATACCAACATCAATCCATTAGCCACTGATAGGAAGGAGGGAATGAGCAGAGAAAACAAAATCATGTCCATAGCAACTGGACCAAGGTGGATAAAAAACAATCTCAGGACGCTGACAGAATCTGAATTTTAAACTGAAATTATTTGGGACTTACAGGTTGACGCAGTCTTTGCACAAAAAGAAACTTACTTCCTGTGAAAAGCGACACATAAAAAACAAACAAACCTCTTTGGTCTCAGTTACAGACAGAAGGAAAACACTCATTTGCATTAGTTGCATATTTTTCAGCACCAGCCTTTTGAAGCCTGCTCTTTGTCTGCCTTCTCCTCTGCCGGTGAGCAGATGGCATTACCTGTGCCAGCCTCTCCTTTGCTCTCCTGAGGGGCTCAAACACCAAGAAAAGAGGAAGAAAAGGCTCATCTAACACCTACCGTTCCCAGAGATGTGGTTCTCCATGTCTCGGTGTGCAGTCTGCCTTGTGGAGACACTAAGTTGCAGATAGAGTCCCAGGTAATGTAAACTCCCCAGCAGCAGCCTGAACGCTCCCATCTCTCTGCTGTTTTCTCTTCTATAATGCCTCTTTTTTTACTGTTCACATTGGGTAGAGTGCCTGGCGAAATTTTATTTAATTTTCTTTAGTTTCTTTATTTTAAAATCCAATAGAGCGGTTCCTTCTGTGCAGTGCTGGGGATGCAGGGAAAGGGAAAAGTCTGCGCAGCCTTCTCCTTTGCCAGCTGCCTGACAAACTGACTCACGTTCGCCGTTCAGCTGGCTCTATACGCGGCGGAGGAACATTGCTCTATGTGGGAGGTTCTGCGGCTTCCAGCGGGGAATATCAATTAGGAGAGGAGGGATATTAAAGACGTCGTTCTTCTGTAGCCTGAAACTCAATTTTTCATTTTGGAAATATTTTCTCCTTTATTGTAAAAGCGGAAAATGTTCCAGAACATTTTAATGCGGTTTTAGTCATGTAAGCGTCAATATTGGCATGATTTTAATCAGACCTAAATATTTTAGTGAGTGCATTAAAAGTGAAAAAAGTGCAGATATATGAGAGGTGTAAAACAAGCTACTTAAACGGACATCTTTTACACCCCTTATGTTTGTTTTTACAACTTTTCGCCAAATTTGAATATGACCGCTTGACTTGTCTCTGTCCATGGTGCTGAAAATGAGATCGACACTCATTTTTTTTTTTTTCAGCTTTAACCCGATGAAACCCTTTCCATCACTTAGACAGACTTTATACACACAGAGTTTATACAAAAAAAGAAATTTCGTTCAGTACTGCTTTCAAGAATTTTCATTTTTTAAAGTGCAGCAGTGATAAAAGGTATGCAGCAGCAATAAGTGTAAACTATGACTGTTACAATTTCAGTGTGGGTTACAGTTTCCAATATTCAGGTTTTTTTTATATATATATATATAACCCCATTTTATACAACATTCAGCAGTCTAATGGCAGTGGGGAAGAAGCAGTTCTGGAATCTGCTTGATCCACATTGAATGCTGCGAAGCCTCTTCCCAGAGGGCAGCAGGGAGAACAGTCCCTGGTTGGAGTGTGAGGGGTCACTGATAATGTTATGGGGTTGGGACATGCAGTGCTGGGATGAAATGTCTTTTATTGTGCTGTTCTCACTACTCTCCTCACTTTCTTCCAGTCTGAGGCGCTGCAGCCTCCACACCACACAGTAAGCCAGCTGGTCAGAACGCTCTCTATGGTGCTTCTGTAGAAGGTGGTGAGGATGGATGGGGGCAGGTGGGCTCTCCTTATCCTCTGCAGGAAGTACATGCGCATCACAATGTTACTGCACACTGATGGGCTGTTGCTACAGATTCTTTACGTTAAGTTTTGTATTAATTTTATGGTTGTGGTCAAATGATTTGGGGTAAAAAGGAAGTCATTTTATTTTATTTACCATGTTGATTGGGAATTTTAAATGTTGGTAGGCCTATGTGCAAAGGCAGTGTTGATAGACGCTTTGGCAAAGCAGCTGGTGGCAGGAAACTGAGGAGTGTGTTTTGTGTCATTGTTATACATTACTTTGTTTCCTTAGATTAAATTTTTTTTAAATTATGTTTTTTTTCCAACAATTTTGTACTGATTTTATATTTTCAAATTTAACTTTTTTCGAATACATCTTTTCAGATAGAGTTTTATTGATCACATTCTTTTTGCTTTAAAAAAAATACAAATGCCCTGGACGAGCATATTGTCCAACAAAAATGTTGTTTCTAACACCCATGCAGACCAATATAAATATGGCTTTGCTCCTAACTCTAAATAGAAAAGCACATAAAAAAAAAAGTTTAACTTTTTTTTTAAAAGATAAAATCAAAGAAAATGGACACATTTTTCTCATTTTTTTAAGAAGAATTTTCTGGATTACATTTTTTTATTTCCATGTAATAAGCTTGTTTATGCTTGCAAACAACTACAGAACCAAATTCCCTTCATAGAAATTGAAAAATTTTACTTCCTTTCTGTTAATACACTGCACTAAACAGTAACCCAGGGCCAACCCAAGCATCCATGGGCCCCTGTGGAAAATTGGATATTGGGGACCTCCATTTCTTCCAGTAATATGGCTTGCAGTAACTTGACATTCCAGAGATCAGATCATCTCACACCTACTATAAATTCAATGCAGCTTTGGCAGTGATGTTTATAGTCTCCTATTTGTAAGACTAAATGTGTTACTAAAAGTAATCGAATAAATTGACATGCTGCTTAAAACAGTACAAGTTTAATGCTGTTAATTTTATTTAGTTCCATCTGCAACAGGTTGCTGCAGTCTTTGCTTTATAAGGGACGTTCTCCCCTTGTTGCCCTGGGGCCCTAAGCAGTCGTTTAGTATGCTTATGCCCTGGGCCAGCCCTTCATTAAGGGGTGGAATTGCCAGCAATCCTCCTGTTACTGATTGAAGCAGAACCTGAGAGTGAAATGGACAGTAATTGATTATTTTTTTTCAAGTCACAACACACAATAGGGGATGTTGCTGTCCTAAATGTTTTCCAAAAGTGGAGCTTTCTGCCACATCAACATTATAACAAGAGAACTAACTTTTTCCCTGGGATATTTCTATGCATTTTTTATTTTTTTTGCCATGAAACTTTTTGTACCTTCTTTGTTTAATGCGTAATACAATTACATGCACAAAATGTTTCCGAATCAAGCTCAAAGCTTAGAGTAATATGATGTTTTGTAATATCAAACAATCTTATTAGAACAGATAAGGAATCCTGTTTGGGTTGGCTGTATATTTTTACCATAATCATACTTTTAGGCAATACACCATATCCTGTTAAGGACTTGTTCCCTTTAAATGTGACACATTTGTGGGTGTTGTCCTTTTAAATCATGCCAACCCCAAACATACCATTTTGCTGTGCTGTTTATGTTGGTGAAAAGCAACAAATTGTAGCCAAAATGCATACAAATATACAGCAGAAATATAACTAGTTACTACAAACCTCTGCATTTCGGTAGAGTATGCCCAGAGTGGTTGCATCTATAAGGTTTTACATCTTGAAGGTTCGACCTTTCCTCACAGCTGGTTAAACAATCTTATCTTGATTTATCTCTGCACTGAGATTGCCTCCAATGATGACAGGTCCTGTTTGTCCATTGATGGAGACACCGCCTCTAACCATCACCCTGCCTTCACCAAACGCTTTTGTCACCATGTGGAACAATGTCAGGTTTTCTCTGCCTCTAAAAACATCTACAAGTACTCAAACCCATTACACATTACATGTTTGTACATCATCAAACATTGTTACTGTTAAAATACTAAATGTAATAAAAAAAACTAATAAAGACTTTAAATATAAAAGGAAAAGGATCAATAAAAAAAAACAAAAACCTTTATACAGCTACGAGGATAGAGTTGATGAATGAGAGCAAAAGCAGACAGATAAGAATATCCATGCTCCCCTTAAGCCTTTGTCTAATTGAAATCAACTTTAAAGACTTTGGTAGTTCTGGAGGGGGTTTGTGCAGAAAGAGGCAGAATCAATCTGTGGTTGAATGATGGAAAGAAGAGGCGGCGGTGTGCTATCGTGCGTTTGCTCTGATTCATCACTCTATTGATAACAGGGTTAAAAAATAAATAAAAGGAAACAGATCAATACTGAAATCTGCAAGCAAATCCTTTCTCTCTATCCACGTCTTATAAATTATCAAGCAGTTGAGTCCATTTGGGGTAGTTAGGTTGTGTTCGGCACTTTCCGTCTACAGAGACTTTTGAACACGCAGTTCTAAACTTCCTACAGCATGTTCTCATAAACAGCTAAACTTACTTGAACCAGGCCGTCGTCCAAATGTCGCTGGTTCTAACTGCAAGCTGTCACTCGCTGCGTGTTTAACTGCGAGTTAAACGGACTCTTCCCTTGCCAGAACCAAACAGTTTTAGGATCTGCCTTCTGTGTGTGCAGGGCCTGGTTCCAGCTGCTCTGTGGAAACACTCCTCAGACAGTCTGAGCGTCTTTGTGCAGTCTGGCACTCTAAAGGCATCCTTGATTTAATAAAAATTGATTAAAGATTATTAAAAGAAGCAGTGGAAGCCAAGATCTCAAAATCCCATGAATTTCTGTAAACCTGAAATCAAAACTGCTTCTTGATAAAACTGCTGTGGGAAACAAAAAAAAAAACCAAAAACAAAATTCAAAATGGAAAGAATAAAGATAACTGTCCTTCTATTTCACGGTGATTAACAAATGATGGTTCATTTGCCCCTGCAGTGGTGATTAGGCCACATATTCTTCCAGGACAATCAGTGGAGATGAATGTGCTTCTCCACCAGAGTGAGAGCGAGTTTACAGCAGCTGAGCTCTGCCGCTGTGCTGCACTTGGACAGCTGTGCAGCAGTTCCCAACAGCTGCTTTAGGCTCCTGATCATTTACTATGCGAGTCTGAATTAATGATAGGACACAAAAACATCAATGAAGTTCAACAGACCCATAACTCTAAAGTTTTGGTTTCATGAGAAGATTAAAAACATTCCTGCAAAGGAATAAATCCTGGTTGAGAAGTAGAAAAATCAAATAAAAACTTAATTTAACAATTTACACAAACTTCACAGAAAAAAAACAACATATGAGCACAGATGCTTTTTTATAAGCTGTTGGTAATTTTTTATCAGATCAAGGTTAGAAAAATTGCTAATCAGCAATTAGGATAAATTAGTTACTCGGTAATAAATACTAATTTGCATCACTACCTGAGGAAGCAACATTTAGCACTTATAGTTTCTTAATTTAGGGTTCATTAAATAATTTTAGGGTAAAAAAATAAATAAAAAAAAGAAGTAAAACACCTGAACCAGTGTGCAGCAATAGAATTTATCTCAGACTGGAAAAAAAATAAATAAATACAGCTTTTAGTTGAAGCACATTAGTTCAGTGGGACTTAAAATTACCTTCTAAAAATGATCACCTTTTTAACTAAATCACCACAGGCAAAACAATCACCACCCCTGGTATTCATGACTCCCGTTAGCAACAACACTGCATTCTGATTACGGTAAGTCCTTCCTTTTTTTTTTCTTCTTGGTCAGATGAAAGATTTTCAGAAAAGCCGTTTGCCTGAGACATCAAGAAAGGTTAACATTTAGTCTGACTTTGTCCACCTTGTTCCAGCTGTATCGGTTAAATCCTCGACCCGTTAAAAGATCCAGTGATGATCCGTTCCGGTTTTCCTGGAAGACACTTACTAATTTTGATCTATAAA